ATACCTCTAATGTTGGGATCACCCTTGATGTGTTGGAGAAAAGGTTCCAGAGTCAAACCCATTCACCCGTACCGTAGCAGTGGGGTTGGTGTATAGACTTGAAATCCATGTCAGGATAGACTTCGGCATCCCTACCGATTGAAGTGTTTCCAAGAGGAATACCTAATCTACCTTATCAAAGGCTTTTTCTGTGTCGGAGTACAAAAGTAGAAGGGAGGTGTGTGATCTTTGCGCCATCTCTATGATGATCAGTGTCCGGATGGTGTTGTCTCTTGCCTCCCTGGTCTGGTTGAAGCCAACTTGGTCCATTGCAACTAAACGCCGCAACAGGACGTTCGTTGTGGAGGCTAGAATTTTTGTGAAAAGTTTGACATCACAGTTTAGAATAGAAATAGGCCTGTAACTAGCACATAGCAGTGGGTCTTTGCCCAGTTTTGGGTGTACAGAGAAAGATGTAGCAACATGTCTGGAGGATTACTGTGTCCGTCTAAGTCAGCATTGAAGGCTGAGGTAAAATGGGACGCTAACAGGGTGTGGTACGATTTGTAATAAAGGAGGGTGAATCCATCAGGCCCATGTGCTTTCCCAGATTGGGTTTCTTAAATAGCGGATGCAATTTCCTCTACCGTAATAGGCTGGGACAACTCTTGGTGAGTGTCTGATCTAAATTATAGAGGCGAGAATATAAATCATGGAAAGCCCCTGCTATATCAGGGGAAGCCTGAATTTTGGATCCTGATGGGGTAAGCAAGGCAGGGATTTAGGACTGGGGTCGTTTTGTGCGCAAAGCATTTGCCAACATCCGGCCACACTTGTTGCTGTACTCATAAAATAAGTGACGTATGCTTTGCCTGATATAAAGACTGTTCCTAATGGCCTCACAGAGTCAAGCCAGCTCGGTCGCATGATCTGGCTGAGATTTATGTTGGCATTGTAGCATGTGGAATCTAGTCAAAGGTTATATAAGGTTTTTGTTCTCCGACTCTTGGCTGCATGGCCATGTTTTATTAAGATCCCCCTAATATAGCACTTGTAAGAAGACCATACAGACAGTGGGTTGCTCACGTTGCCGGCATTGATAGTAAAATAGGAGGTAAGTTCTCTGAGTTTGTCTGCAGCTACTTCGGGATCCTTGAGGAGTGGCTCAGTCAGCAACATGTTGGCGTCTTGGGGCACGGGTTGGAGAGATCCAGTTCCAAAAAGATTGGGGCATGGTCAGAAAATGTAATTTGGCCTACATCTGTTTTAGAGACCATGGAGATCATCATATGTTTCAATAAGAAAAAGTCTATTCTGGAGTAGGAGACATGAGCAGAAGAGTTGAAAGTTTAATTTCAGTCTTGTGTATGGAAGATTCCACAAATATCGACCAATTGGTGGGCATGCAAAAGGCCTTTAAGGTGGAGCCAGACCCTCCTGGACAGGAAGTCCTTGTGAGGGTTCAAGGTAAAATTAAAGTCACCCCCCAAAATAAGGATACCTTCAAGAAAGGCTTCTAAGGAGGTCAGAAAGGCCTTAAGAGCCTGATATCGGTTCGTATTGGGAAGGTACAAATTTGCAAGAGTAAATGTATGGGAGTATGGTTTGCCTTTCAGGAGCAGGAACCTGCCTTCCTAATCTCTGTATTCATTGAGGAGTTGTCAGAGAAGGGATTTAGGTATGAGGATATTATTATTATTATACAGTATTTATATAGCGCCAAAGGGTTTGCTCAGCGCTGTACAATAGTGGGGGGGACAGAACATGAGACAAAACAGTACAATACAATACACGAGGGGTTCGAGGGCCCTGCTCTTTCGAGCTTACAATCTAGGAGGGAGGGGATAGTGGTACAGGAGGAAGTGGCTGTGGGGGATGGAGTGGTAGGAGGAGTGGAGGAGATCGGTTGTTAGGTGAGGGTGGGGTAGGCTTCCCTGAAGAGGTGGGTTTTCAAGGTGCACCTGAAGGTGAGGAGGGTAGGTGATAGTATGATGTATTGGGGTAGGGAGTTCAAGAGGATGGGGGAAGTCCTGGAGAAGTCCTGCAGTCGGGCGTGGGAGGAGGAGACCAGGGAGCTGGAGAGTAGGAGGTCCTGTGAGGAGCGAAGATTACGGGTAGGGTGGTATTTGGGTATCAGGTCGGTTATGTAGTTTGGGGCAGTGTTGTGAATGGCTTTGTATGTCAGAGTTAGTAGTTTGAATTTAATGCGTTGGGCAATCGGGAGCCAGTGAAGGCAGAGGGGGGTGGCAGATGTGGAGCGGTTGGTGAGGTGGATGAGTCTAGCCACTGAGTTCAGAATAGACTGGAGTGGGGATAGCATTTGTTTGGGTAGGCCAGTGAGAAGGGAGTTGCAGTAGTCCAGGCGTGAGATAATAAGGGAATGTACGAGTTGTTTAGTAGTGTCTGGGGTGAGGAATGTACGTATCTTGGAGATGTTGTGGAGGTAGAGCCTGCATGACTTTGATAGTGATTGGACATGAGGTTGGAAGGAAAGGTTTGAGTCCAGGGTGACACCCAGGACTTTGGCATGTGGGGTGGGATTGATGGTGGCGTTGCTAGTCGTGATGGAGAGGATGGGGGGGGGGGGGCGGGCTGGGGGGAAGACTAGGAGCTCGGTTTTTGACAGGTTTAACTTGAGGAAATGGAGCGACATCCAGTCTGATATGTCAATCAGAAGGTGGGCGATGCGGGCGGAGAGTGAGGGGGTGAGTTGAGGGGTGGAGAGGTAAATTTGTGTGTCGTCCGCATAGAGGTGATAGTTGAAGCCGTGAGAGTGTATCAGTTTGCCAAGGGAGGAGGTGTAGATGGAGAAGAGGAGGGGTCCGAGGACAGAGCCTTGGGGGACACCAACAGGGAGGGAGGGTGAGGTGGCAGCGTTATAGGTAACGCTGAAGGAGCGTTGGGATAGGTAGGAGGAGAATAGCGTCCCTGATGCCAAAGGAGTGCAGTTTAGTAAGGAGGAGGGGGTGGTCGACTGTGTCGAAGGCCGCGGAGAGGTCGAGTATATTTGTTCTCTTAGATTTAGAGGCTGGGCTATTGGAAAATATTTGTTAGAAAGTTTGTGGATTTTGTCTGCTCAGAAATTAGTCTCTTGGAGGAAAAGTGCCTGGTAGGCAAGTGGTTAATTATCATTGCTGTGTATGTTTGTCTATGTGTTTTTTCCTCAGAGATTGTCTTATTACAATAGAACTATAGGCAAAACTGTTTCTTCATTTTGAATAAAGTAAGAGAAAGTTAGAACCCTTGTCAAGATTTTCGCCATCTGTTTTGTCCCATTGGAGAGATATACTTTCACTTCCTGTCCAATAGCCAAACTAGGAAATGAGAGAAAATCCCTATACACTAAAGGAATCCTTTGCCCCCCCCCAGGTCTCCAGAACCAGTGTCTCCATTGGAAGATTTGCCCTCTTTTACTTTTCTGGGGACAACCCAAAATGTGGGATTTTCTTTTACTTTCACTTTCAATGATAATGGTAAACAGGACAAACAGAGAGAGTGATTCTCTCTAACGGGGCACAGGCAGAAATAAACACCTGACAGGTTTCCACTCTGACCAAAGCTAGAAAAAAAGTTTTGTCTTTAGTTATACTTTAACGGTGTGCTAAAACTTTGTGTATTACCCCCCCCCCCCCCCCCCCCCCCCCCCCCCCCCCCCCCCCCACAGTCACATCAAAGCCGATTTTAAAATTGTGCGATATGCTGTGAAGTCGCACGATTTCAAAATCGGGTGACCTGCCGATTTCCTTGCGATTTGCGATTCGGACACAGATGTCTATGCAAATCACAACAAAAGTAGTGCATGTACTACTTTAGAAATCGATATGACTGCTCTAATAGTGGACAATAGGGTGCGACTTGGCATACGATTTGCAAGTCGCCTGGCATGAAAATCGCATGACAAGTCACACCCGATGTGACCGGGGGTGCGGTACTGCTTGGACCTTGAAGAAGTGGGTACAACCCAAAAGCTTGTTTTGAAAATCTGGATGTTAGTAAAAATAAAAAAAAAGTATCACAGACAGTAGTCAAGTATTTTTGTTGCAAGTACAATAATACAGCTACAGGTATTTTTGTATGAAATCTGTACTGTGTATTTCTTTTCATAAAATCTCTCTTCTCTATACATTCATTGTCTGTATTCATACCCTTTCTTTCGGTTTTCCACAGCTGTGTTACATATTATGAAATTCAAGCCGTGGGTGGCTCTGTCAGCATGCTTCCTCCTGACATTCTTCGATCTGAAAATCAGAGGAGTTGGGAGTAAAATTCTTGGCCAAACAGTACTTGCATCCAGTCAGACGAAGGCACTGTTCAGGTATTTTGACATCTGTCAGAATACAATATCCAGAAGGGGTGATTCCTCTGTGCATGCTGTTTAAGATGTAAGAGGAATCAATAGATTCTATTATCCAGCCCTGCAGAGCTGAATAAGAAGACACTTATAGTGTATGGCCAGCCTAAAGTGTTACTAAACCCACAACAATAAAATCAGTCTGTATATGCAGTAAAGCATGCTTGTTATACTCACAAGGGGTTAATCCTCTGCAATATGTGAAAAGGATGTTTGATCCTGTCTTCTCTGATCATTCCCCTCTTCCACATTCCCCATTTCATCTCCTGATAGAACACCTGGGGACACTCTGCACATGCTCAGTTTGGTGTGTTCTGCTAGAAAGTTTTTTCTTTTTCTTGGGAGGGTGCATGTGATCAGCACAGGGCCTATCAGCACTGTCCAGACAGAGGGTCAAGGTTTATGCAATCTCATAGGGCAGTGAGAGGAGAATGAAAACTCCTCCTACAAGCTTTAACCAGTGTTCAGCTGGACACTGAATGAAGTGACAAGACGGCTCTAGCTGCTGATGCGAAAAGGTATTTATCATTTATTTAGTTTGTATCTGTGTAGTTTTTCCCACAAGATCAAGTAAGGTGTGTATAACTGAAAACTGTGGGTATGTTTTTATGGAATAATGAAGAAGAGTTTGATTGCTGTATTCAGGGTTTGTTCTTTGTATTTGGCCAGGTATGGTGATGGCTACATCATGATTGGCTTCTCCCTTGGCTTCTTTGTGGTGATTTCCACACACATGAGTGAGATTGGTCAAGAGCTGTTCCAGGCAAGCAACCACAAAGATAATCTAACCAGTATCGCCATTTCACAGTCGTTGAACAAAGCTGCATCTTGTGGTGACAACAAGTAAGTGAAAGATTTTTTACAAACCAGCCATTTATCCTTATGTGCATTGATTGCTGGTACCAGCATCATTCCATGTTCACACTCAGGACTAAGCTGGCTGTCAAAATCAGCCCTGGAGTATAACACATTGGGGCTGAAATTTGGGTATTCACTGGAACTTTTACCAAGTGTGATAGAAAAATAAATTCTTTACATTTTTTATCACTGCTGACTGAAAAGTACTTAGACAACGATGACCCTTTTCCGCAATGTGACAAAAACCTTACGCGCTACTATGAATCAAAAAATGTAATTATTAAAACAAGAGTGATATCGGTAGCTGCTACAGCACAAACCCCTGTCTCATAAATGGGCAAATCAAAATATAAAACTATATTATATGTATATGACCCTTTTCTGCTTATTTAGTGACGGCCTAACACTGAATGGCCCACAGAGCTTTGCATCAGTTCACTGGTACTACTCAATGATACTTTTTTGCAGTTTATATCATTTTACAGATGTCTGAGTTGCCATAGTGCCAGCCTGGACCTGTTTACACTGATCTCTGGTATATAATGCTCTTATATGCCATTTCCTTCTATGCCCCATAGTTTGCCATGATACACAATAATGATTATGTCCTGACATCATTTTGCAACCCCTAAAATAAGCTCTTAAAGCGGTGTTCCACTCACTCTGTAAAAAAAATAAAAGTCAGCAGCTACAAAAACTGTAGCTGCTGACTTTTTAAAAAACAGCTACTTACCTGTCCCACGATCCGCGTTGCCCCCGCCGCAGCCCGTTTCACAGGCCATCCTGTATTCCAGGCACTGCCATCTTCAGTGTGGGCACCTGGGTAGCGCTGCTCTTCCCGAATGGCCCAAAGTCTTCTGAGACCTGTCACGTGTCCCACAAGACTTCGGGGAAGGAGGGTAGGAGTACAACTTCCACTTCCGATCGCCTAGGTGATCGCAGCAAGTGGAAGCGGGTACCTGTCAAATTCGGGTACTCGTTCCCCCCCCCTGCTCCCCAAAGGTGCCAATCCCTAATGGGGATCGGGGGGGGACCAATCTTTAAAGCGGAACTTTCCCTTTTGGGTGGCACTCCGCTTTAAATTCTGGGTTGTACTCCCACATCAAAAAATGTCCTACTTTAACAACAAAAAATAATTTAAATTGTGTACATTCATTTTACAAAACTCTAACTCAGTTGTAATAGACACTTTACTTTATTATTGTCTGTTATTATTCCTGTTTTTTATTTTTTTCTCCTCACTGTAACATTTATATTCTGTTTTAGTATTAAAATCCATGACTTGAGTGAGCTAAAAGAAATGTATGCGATCATCACCCCTGGATGATGAAACTAAAGGTAACCAACCAACATAAAGGTTATTTACTTAGTTCAACTCACATAAGCAACAACTTTTTTTTTCCAGTTTTTGATAGAGTGGGAAAAGGTTAGATGTTCTACCAGTTGCCTGTGCTCCCATTTGGGAGATTTCCCCTAACATCATTAGACCAGAGCAGGAAGTCAGCAGAAGATTTTGAGAGACACAAAAAAGCAATATAAATTATTTTTTTTAAAGGAAACCGCAACATATTTGGTTCTGTTTTATTTAACATTTAAATGTTTATAAACTGATGATTTAAATCTTTTTTGCAGTCATTATTTTACATATAAATATTTAGTACAGGGTGCATCCTTCTTTCCTTCTGTATAGAGCTGGTTGTACAGAGCAGGGGTTGAATTAGGGGGAGGAGTCTAGAGCTTGTTAGAATTAAGAGAATAAACAATCTTTTCAATTCCTTTAGGTAGACTGGGAAAGGATAAGAATCATATTTTCACTGTTGGAGATTCCCATATGAATAGAAAAAACTACCACATGCCAGGGAGCTAGGTGTAATCCTAGACTCTGACCTCTCCTTTGGGCCCCATATCCAATCACTGGCTAAATCCTGCAGCCTCAACCTCCGCAACATTTCCACAATTTATCTCTTCCTGAATAATGACACCACAAAACAACTTATCCACACCTTGGTTATATCCCGCCTCAATTACTGAAGCTCCTTCCTCACTGGCCTGCCTTTACACAGGCTATCCTCTCTTCAGTCTATTATGAATGCTGCTGCTAGACTCATACACCTTACCAACCGATCAGCGACTGCTGCCCCTCTCTGCCAATCTCTTCACTGGCTTCCACTAGCCCAATGTATAATTCAGAATACTAACCACAACATACAAACCCATCCACAACATTGCCCCTAGCTACATCACCAACGTTATCCATAAATATTGTCCAAATCATCCGCTCCTTCCAAGACATCTTGCTCTCTAGCTCCCTTGTCACTTCCTTCCATGCTTGCCTCCAGGACTTCTCCAGAACCTCTCCCATCCTCTGGAACTCCCTACCCCAGTATGTCTAGTCAGCCGCCACCCCGTCCTCCTTTAGGCGATCTTTGAAAACTCACTTATTCGGGGAAGCCTACCCCACCTCCGCCTAAGAGCTATAATTGAGTCACATCCATCAGATCATCCCCTGCAGCTGTCACCTTTTGTATCACCTCTCCTCCTCCTTTAGATTGTAAGCTCGAACAGAGCCATCCTTTTATATTGCAAAGCTCTGCACAAACTGTTGGCACTATAAAAAAGCTTTGCTTGGAGTTGGGCATTAAGAGATAAAAAATATACAGAAAAATATATATCAACAGGATAACAACACCCATTTTTTTTTACTAAAGGTTTAGATAGACTTTCCTGGACAGATGATGGACAGTTGTTGGCAGTATCCACTCAGCGAGGGTCACTCAGTGTCTTCTTAACCAAACTTCCTATCTTGGGAGATACAAGTGGCACCAAGATTGCCTATCTCACATCCCTGCTGGAGGTCACTGTGTGCAATCTGGCAGAAGGGGTAAGAAAAATTGTTTTAATTTGTTTTCTGACATTACGCTAAGTTTGACTTTAATTTTTTTTTTTCATTTTCACCTGTGTAATTTTACTAAACTCTTCAAATGCCACTGAAAATACCTTAATACAACAGTCATTTTTGGTTAGTTTGGTGCTCTCACATGTCTTAATATTTCTGAAGGTCTTCAGAAGCCAATGCACGGACTAGTAATGAACCTACAAAAGATGTTTTTTTTATTATTAATAACTGACCTAGGTTGAGACTGAGTCACTAAAATATCTTACATCATATTGGTGCATATTAAAGGTTCTCTTCTGATTTGATTGTCCCTCATATACATGGTATATCATTCAGAATTTGCAAGCATTATGGATGACAGGAAGGAGAAGTGTTAGGCTACCCGGTCTGCAGCTATATAGCAAGCCTCAGGCTGCCCATATCAGATCTCTTGGCCAGAATAGGTTTGATAATATGATTCTTTTGTTTCATATCAGACACTTGCCCCTTTTCTCTCTGACTAAGGTGAAATTCAATTCAGTATGCAGTTGGAGAAATTAATATTCTATTTCCTGACAACATATCAGTTGCAAAAAACAGAAGACCCCTTAAAAATGCAATTAACACTTCTGACATTCATGTGCTTGCTGTTGTTTCATTGCTGGCTGATACAGCAACAGAATCATAGGGCTAATGTGGCTTTAAACTGCTATAAAATGTTGATAGTCTCATATGCTGTTTAACTTTCTTTTCCATAATTTGTTGGTTAGGAGTTGCCAATCACAGTTTCTGTTGAGGTGGAACCTAATTTTGTGGCTGTGGGTTCTTACCATGTTGCTGTAGGAATGAACAACCGGGCCTGGTTCTATGCTCTGACCGAGAATGGTATGAGTCTGTCTCTATCACATTGTCTTATAATATGACTTTGACACTGTCCTCTGCTCATCCATTATTTCTCATTGTTTAATAGTGATAGACTGTACAGAGTGCATGCCTGGGGTATCTCCGATATATATTTTTATTACATAAAGCCATACACATCACAGAGGCTTCATATAATGATAATTTTTCCTCCATACAAGAAAATTAAAAGCATAGTTTATGTATTAATGAAAAAAAAGTAAATACGATTTTAAATGGAACCAGTGTGAGTAACTAATAATGCCCATACATCAGGCTCTTTTTATGCCCTACACTAAAGGAATCAGACTTAGAGGGGGGCAGTACTAAGAGCCACTCAGCCCCTGCTGTGGTATTCTTACAGTGATCATGCTGGAGGAGAAAGCAGAAGCATGACCACATCAGTGTACTGCTGCCCCTCTTTGTCAATCAGCAGATTTGAGTTGGGGTGGGAGATTCTTGACTAAGCTTTGCTGCTGTTACAGTAGAGGTAGATGACCTTTCTGTGCTGCCTGACTGGGATGGCTGAAAAGAATAAGGTAAAATAGTTTCCGTTTATGGTATTTAACTGCCTGCATGTTGTCCCTCTTAAAAAAATACTCCTTGTGTGCTTCTGTTTTTTATTGTACAGATAGCCCTCTTTATGTTATCAATGCCCCTTGTTAACCAAAAAAACTTTGTTTGACAAACCATCAAACAAAATAAATAAAAATAAAAAAACACAGCACAAAAAATATATACATATGAGTAAATAAAAGCAAAAATATTAAATAATAAATAAAATAATGTCCAAATAAAAGTGCAAAAAAATGTCCTTTATTCAATTTTTTTTTTAAATCAGACTTTGACTTCTGTAGTCTGAAATGTCTTTTTTAATATACTGTATATCTTAACATAATGAATTCATTTTTTTGTCCTGTGCAGGTGTAGAGAAGCTGAAGGACATGGAATACCTGGGAACTGTTGCAAGCATGAGCCTAAATTCTGATTATGCTGCTGCTTTGTTCGAGGGCAAAGTACAGCTTCATATGGTGAGAATATCATCTAATTATCTCATGATTAGGCAGACGGAAACTAAAATGATGTTAATAAAATAAAGTTTTTTTATTAAGTGCTTTCAGACAGTGTAATTCCTAAGAGTATAGCCCAAAAACAGTAGATAGATACTTAATTTTAAAGCAACCAAAAACTTTAATTGATTAAAATATCTTTATTGATTTGTAACTACCTCTTTTCCCAGTATCCCTCAGAGTGCTAGTATTACATAGACAGAGCTTAACATAAAAACTTCCCTGCATGCACTGCTTCTTTTCAGAAACTGATTGGGGGGATTTACTAAAACTGGAGCACTAATAATCTGGTGCAGCAGTGCATGGTAGCCAATTAGATTCTTATGTCAGCTTGTTCAATTAAGCTTTGACAATAAAACCTGGAAGCTGATTGGTCTCTATACAGAGCTGCATCAGATTTTGCACAATGCAATTTTAGAAAATGATGCCCATTGGGTCTGCTTCTGTGTGATTGGCTAAATTATAGAAATATTCCAGTTTTCCTTGTAATAGGTGTTACACAAGTACAAGCATAGTTTCGCCACCTGGCCTCACCCCCCTTTTACTCACACTTCTCAGCTAAAACTTTGAGTTTGTCCCTTTGTAGCTACAAAGCAGTGGGGAATCCGCATGTCAAATATTGTGGTGCTACATATCAAAAAATGTAAACAGCACTTAGCATATTATTAAAAAATTATCGGTTTTTTATCTTATTATCTCCAAAGTTAATATCAGCATAATATGTGTTTGTAACTGCATATTACTGCCAGTATTTGGCTGTGAACCAATATGCAAAATATGGATGATAGCTATTCCTTTTGACCTTGGAGATTTTTTGATTGAGATCTTTAAGTGGGGAGCATTGTGCATGCCTGAGAAATTGGCCAGTTTGAAAACAGGTGAGCTGTTTGAATTGTTACGTGCATTGCTAGATATGCCTGACAGAATCTATGATGTCTACTGAGGCATGTACACTGGGATTCAAAGTTAAGTCTGCAAACCAATTATATTTCCTCCTTGTGCAAAGCAAAATATTTAATTCAAAACGGTTATTTCTGAATCTCCCCAGATTGAAGGTGAATCAGCAGAAGCTCAGGAGGAACGGGAGACTCGTCTGTTCCCATCTGCTGATGAAAAGTATAGAATACTGTGCCATTCATTGACTGGAGATTTCCTTATTTACGGAACTAATGTAATTTTCTTTTTTCTTTATTTAATACAGTCCATGTGTGTTTTTGCTGAAATGGTTCTAACTAAGAAGTTAAATATTTCTAACACATATACATATAAAATAAAAAGGGTAGTAAGATCCTCACACAGTGGTGGAGATGAATGCATGTGTGGCTTATCCCAGCCAAACAGCTACCAATGTCTTAATTTTCAAACCACACTAGAAAAATGGCTGGTTGTAATTTGGTTATGGGCATCACAGACCCTTTGATTAAATTTTTTGGGAAAAAAAAACCCTCGTATGTTTTCTATTTTTTTCATTATCTATTATGATTTGGACTAAAAAAACTATTTAAAAATATACATATATTTTTGTCAGGTTAATATGAAATTGTGCATTTTATATTCAGCTGCGATGAAGACCTTGTGCAACACTTGGTGTTTCCCTGGTGCATGGGACTGTCAGACTCCATGAGAGGTTGACAGCTGCCGCGGCTGGATGGCGCACCTAGCAATACGAATTTTTAGGGCAGTATGCACCCAGGGATTCCAGAGATTTGTTCCAGGCATTCATCCCTGCATACTGTCCTAAACATTTGTACCGCTAGGTGCACTGTTCAGCAACAGCAACTGCCAGCCTCTCATAGAGTTTGACAAGCTGCCAGCAGTGGGGCTGGACGGGGCATTTGTGCCCTCCACCAGCAGCTAAATGCCAGAGTCCCATGCACCAGGTAAACACCAAGTGTTGCATGAGGCCTTCATCTCAGCTGAATATAAAATGCATGATTTTGTATTAAAGTGGAGTTCCACCTGAAAAATAAGAAAATTCAGCAGCTACAAAAACTGTAGCTGCTGACTTTTAAAATACCGACACTTACCTGTCCCTCGGTCCATCGGTGTCCTCACCACCACTGGTTTCACCGGCCGCCTTCTCTCCCTGGCGCCGGCATCTTCAGTGTGGGCACTCGGCTCACTGCGCATAAACAAGAAGTGCTGCGCTTTGTAAATGGCCCCGTAGTCTTCTGGGACCTGTCATGTGTCCCAGAAGACTACAGGGAGGGAGGGGGGGAAGACAACTTCCACTTCCGATCACCTAGGTGAACGCAGCGGAAGTGGGAGCGGGTACCTGTCAAATTCAGGTACCTGCTCCCCCAAAGGTGCCAATCCTTAATGGGGAGTGGGGAACAAAAGCTTAAAGTGGAACTTCCCCTTTTGGGTGGAGCTCCGCTTTAACCTAACAAAAAAATGTATATTTTTAAATAGTTTTTTAGTCCTAATATCTTTCATATTAGATAATGAAAACAAATAGAAAACATATACAAAACCACTATACATTGCCTTTAAAATATCCACATGCACTGCCCCAAAATTGGATAAGTGCATGCATTGTATGTAAACCTTGTGTCATTTTAAAATTTTTAAAAGTAAAAATTCTGCTTAAGAACAGCTACTACAAGGTGCCTGATGTTTCCTTCATTAGTCAGAAAAACCTTATTTGTTAACCCTTAAAAGCCACTGGAGAGAGTGCGCCGCACTCATGCAAGGAAATAGAGCATGCAGTCTACATGTGCCTACTTTTGAGAAAGAGACATGCACTGTTGTGATGCTGAGAATGAACAAATAAGCTCTTTTTTAGTGGTTCACACTACAGCTCTCATGTAAATCACACCGCATTCCTGTGCAATTCCCATGCGATTCTGTGTGGTGCGATTTGAGCCCATTTATGATCAGTTTTCTTTAAACTCCCAATGTATGAGATTACACCCACTCCTAATATGTTAAATTGTGCTAAGGAAGGATTCCTAAGTACTTCATTTTGGTATTGCATGAGATGCACATCTAATGTCTTTTTTAAAAATATAGCAAAATGAATGACAGTGCAATTTTCCAAATTTTCACAGGTGTCAAACCTGGTTTCTTTCCTTTTATATAGACTGGGCTTGTGAAGTACTTTTACCTTGAAGATTGGCAATACGTTAATGAATACCGACACCCAGTCAGCATACGAAAGATCTTTCCTGATGCATCTGGAACAAGATTAGTTTTAATCGATGAAAAGACAGAAGGATTTGTGTATTGCCCAGTAAGTTAACATGTAACATGATTTAATTCAGGTAGCGTATAGAATAATACCTAAAGGGTAACTCAATTTTTGTGGTTAAAAATATCAAAATAAAAAAAAATAATAATATAGCATATACAATTGCGACACAAGCCATATTGTAATGTATTGTTCTTAAAAATTATATTGCCTTTTCAATCTGCAACACTGACATTTTCTGCAAACTTCAATGCAATTTGACAACCTGGAGGTGTACCGTATACAGTTGGTGTACGGAACGCTTCAGAGATATAATTTCCTGCTTATGTGATTGGCTCAATGATTTTCCCACTAGGATACAAGTCAGATTTTAGGCATCCTCTTCAAAAAAAAAAAATCTATTTAGTTGAGATGCTTTAAAAGGGTTCATCTCTTTTAAAGGGATGCAAACATTGCCACACTCCTCATAAGTCTACATTCACACTGGCAATGTAGTCCGGTGTGAATTGTTAGCGTCAGGAATCTTCTGTGTGGGGATCACTGCTGGATTCACACAAAGTGCATCCACCAGCAATCACTGCAGGTAGCCATTGGCTGTGCAGCGAGCTGCAAATAGCTGCGGCTGCTGGCAACCTGCTGGCAAACTAGTCGCTCACAGCCACAGCGGGAATCAGAAGATTCCTGCCACTACAATTCGCACCGGCCTAAATTGCCGATGTGAATGGCGCCTTAGAGCTCTGCAAGTGCATCAGCTGATCAGAAGTGAGAGTCTCTCCCATTGAGATTCAGTCCTGCACAAAACCAGTGTTAATTTAGACGTCAAGTTTCGATTTCATTTTTTTTTTTTTCATGGTCTTTTGACTAAAATGCCTTTTTAGTTTAAGTCGTATTTTTTAAGGCATTTGAATTGTTTTAGTCGTATTTTAGTTGATTAAAAGCTCCAGTATATTTTAGTTAAAATCCAGTGGGTTTAGTTCAATTGTAATGCATTATTTAAAGCGGAGCTTCAGCCATTTTTGTGTTTATTAAAAGTCAGCAGTTACAAAAACTAGCGGCTGACTTTTAATAAACACACACTCACCTGTCCCAGGGTCCAGCGACATGCTCACCCGAACCATCTCTTCTCTCCCTCTCTTCTCCGCCCGGTGCTGGCATCTCAACTGTTGGCACCAGGCTGTGTGACAGCTTGCAGCTTCACAGTCGGGTGCCCACTTCATATGTGCAAGTCGCGCTGCGCATTCCAATTGATCCGGCAGTCTTCTGTAACCTGTGACGGCGAACTGAGCCGGACGTGGAAGCGGGTACTTGTCAAAACCAGGTATCTGCTCCCCCTGAAAAGGTGCCAAATATGCCAGTGGAGGGGGGTAAGAGGCAAACAAATGGAGCTTCCACTTTTGGGTGGAACTGCACTTTAAGCATTTCTCTAGAATTTCCAAACTTATTATATACTCCTGGAGTAAAAAAAAAACTAATACCATGTTATTATTTATGGTATTAAGGTCTGAACAAACTACACAGACACAGATTTAGCCGTTCTATAATATCTTTATAAGTAAAACGTTCCTCCTCATATTTTGTTCCATTTTCGTTCATTGGCAAAAAACTGGGATTGATTTTCGTCATAGTTTTTCATCAGTTGATGAAAATTCAGAGTAATTTTTGTTTAGTCTTCTTCACTGGAAACATGCCGCTGACGAAAATATTTTCATCCAAAAAATTAAAATTGCACAAAACAAGGAATAGCACAAAGAGCTATTCCTTCACAGCAGAAACAGGTAGAACTCTGAAACAAAGTTTGTTAAAATCCTTTACAATATACATTACCCACACAGAGGGGATTGTTTTTTTTTTCCTAGCAAACGTGAAGTTACTCTGTAAAGCTGAACTCAAGTCAAAAAGATTAATACCTTGTTGAACTAAATATTCATGAAAGGTATTAACCTGCTAAGTAACTGTAATTATGTTGAGCTGGTCTTTTGAGCCAGAAACCCCTGGAAGAGAGCGTACCCAAATCGGTGATAACACTTCTCTGTTATTCAGTTCAAGTGTACTGTATGTAAACCCTAACAATACATTTTCTTTTACTCGCACCTTCCTTGATGTTCACAAACTTTGCCCTACATTGAAGTCTTTGTAGGGATAATCTTGTTATTAGCCTTTTGGATAATAAGTTGGGCTTATTGGGAGCAAGCTAGGGGATCAGCACTACCATGGGGGGGGGGGGGGTGGGGGCATTAACCAATGCCCAAAACTGACAAAAATAGTATTTCTCTCTAAACAGGAATGTTAGATCCAACATACATTAAAACATATGGCTTCTGTGATACCACACATTTTTTTTAGAAGGGGTCTGGGTTATCTCTTTTTTTCTCCAAATTATTGACTCTTCAAATTAGTAACTCTGTGGACCAGGGGGTTAAGGCTGTGCACTGCAATATAGGTTGTTTTACTTCTGGTGGGCAAACCTGAAAAGTTTTAGCCAAGATTTGCAAACTTTGAGAATCCTGAGGATGTTGCTAATGAACCCAAACCTATCCCTAATGAAATGGTGACATTTAGTTTTTTTATCTGCCTGGAATTCAGCTTTAAGCCACAAAAATAAGTATAAAACATTTTATTCCTGAATTATCTGTCATTCTTATGTAAAGGTGATGAGGTCGCAGTTAAGTATTACGCGTTGCCTGAACCTATTTTGATAACTTAAAAGGATCATTCTCTTGGACTCATTATCTCAACTGCGCAAGAAATATATATGCGCGTAGATAAAATAATAGAAAAAAAGCATCTGTTTAGATTGCGGTTTATAAATGCTGACAATTGCATCATGAAATAAAGAATATTCCGATGAATGAATGAAGAATATGTTTGGGGTTCCAAAGTTATCAGACATTCCATTTACAGCGGGTAAATTAAGTATTGAACAGTCACCATTTTTTCTCAGTAATATATTTCTAAAGGTGCTATTTGACATGATATTCTTCAACACATGTCAGTAACAACACATGCAATCCATACATACAAAGAAACCAAAACAAATAAGTTCAGAAATTAAGTTATGTGTAATAAAATGGAATGACACAAGGAAAAAATGTTCTATTGAAAACCTGAAGAAAGGGAGGTGCAAAAAAGGCACTGAAACCAGCTGAAATCTATCAGTAATTAGAAAGCAATCTTGCTCCTTGTGCAGTGCAAATTAATATCAGCTGGTTCAGTCTCAAATGATGGCATATAAAAGGTGTCTCTGCATTACCAAGGTGTCACACACGCAAACATACAACAGCTCATGATGGGTTTTAAAAGCAAAGAGCTCTCTCAAACCATCTCGCAACCTTATTGTTGCAAAACATAGCGCTGATGGCATTGGTTTTGACAGATCAGGATTTTGTAAAACTTCTGAATGTTCCAGTGTGAGCAACTCTTGGGACCTTAATCCAGAAGTGGAAAGAACATCATTTCATCATAAACCGTCCATGGACCAGATGCGTCTCGCAAGATTTACTGACAGAGGAGTGAAAAGAATTATCAGAAGAGTTCTCCAAGAGCCAAGGACCATTAGTGGAGGAGCCTCAGAAAGACCTGAAATTAGCAGTAACAATTGTTTTGAAAGAAAACAGTAAGTAATGCACTCAACTGCCTTGGCCTGTATGCCACGCTCACCATCGCCAGACTCCATGTTGCTGAAGAAAAAAGCCATGTTGAAGCGCGTTTAAATGTTTTCTGTACATTTGGACAAGCCTGTGAAATACTGGAAGAATATGGTCTGGTCAGATAGGACGACCAAAATTTAACTCTTTGGATGCCATAACACACCATGTTTGGAGGTCAAAATAGAACTGCACATAACCCCCAAAAATGCTATCCTAACAGTGACGTTTGGAGGTGGGAACATCATGGTGTGGGGGTTGTTTTTCAGCATACGTGGTACTGGCAAAGTTCAATATCGTTGAAGGAAGGATGAATGGAAAAATGTACCAAGACAGGAATCTGCTGTCACTTTCTACCAGAGTGATCAAGATGAAAACAAGGCTGAAAATTTCAGCAAGTAGACAATGATCCCATACACAAAGCCAAGGAAATGCTCAATTGGTTTTTCAAAGAAGGAAAGAAAATAAAGCTACTAGAATGTCCCTGCCAATCCACCTGACTTGAATCCAGTAGCAAGATCTATTGAAAAGAACTAAAGATCTAGTTTAGTTCATAGAAGTGAGGCCCCATGGAACCTTCAAAGATTTGAAGACATGAGTGGAAGAATGGGCCAAAATCAACACTTGAGCAATGTGTGCAAACTAGTTTCTCTTGAAGCTGTCAATTACCAACAAAGGATTTTGTTGACGAAGTATTAATATACATTTCAGTTTGCGTGTTCAATACTTTTTCCCTGTGTCATTTTCATTTTTTATTGTCACATAAACTTAATCCTGAACTTATTTGTTTTGGTTTCTTTGTATGTATGGATTGCATGGCTGTTACCGAGATTGTGGTGAGAAGGAAGTTGCATGTCAACAGCACCTTTAGAATATATTCTACTGAGAAAAATGGTGACGTGTTCAATACTTATTGTTTACCAGCTGTAATATGCCAGGTTTTACTTGGAATCCAAGACAATGACAAGCTGATGGTATGTATTTTAGGCCAATAGCATAGTGATACCTTTATTTAAAAGTTTAAAAAATGAACATTTCTGGTGTAACAGTTCTTAATTTCCCAAACTGTGTAATTTTCTGTATGTTTTTTTTGCATTTTTCAGCAAAATGATAATTTGTATGATGAGATTCCGAACTTTTCCCCAACTATCAAAGGCAATACTTTTGGGAAAACTGGGGCAATGGAGGATAAAGGGGTCTTCTGTGCCTTTGATGATGACAAGGTGTTTCATACGTTTTTGTCACAAGGACACTATACAAGGTACATCCCTTAGCTATTCTTTTTTCCATAAAGGTATTAAATACTTGGTACCAATCTATTAAAACTTGAGGAAACAAAATGAGCCGAAAAGTTGGAGATGTTGAAAAGTATCAAAAAGCCACTCTTCATCTTTGGATTTTAGAAAAAAAAATAAAACTAGAATGAGCCATGATTGGTCTTCACTTTTGTACTTATATTATTTTTTTATAGTTTCCATCATATCAGCCATAATATCTTAGTGAAGACTTGCCTGCAAAATGAATTATGTTCACACATTTTGAAGTAAGAAAATTATAAAGCTGATGTAAAATGAGTTTAAAAAGTATTAGTTTAAAGCAGAACTCCAGTGAAAATTATTTATTTTCCCATGCAGTGGGGCTGTGCCTGTACGCCATGGGGGTTAACTGCTTATTTTGTCCAGGATCCTGCTTAGGGAAACGCTATACTTACCCCATCCTCTCACTATGATCCTCTGGAAAACCCGACCTCTCCCCATATCCAGTGGTGGACTGTTCCTGCCATCCTCACGTCCGATGCTGGCTAGGGACCGGTCCCTCCGCTTCAGGATTGGCGGATAGTTAGGTAAGTATACCTCTGCTTACCGCAACCCTAGACAACAATGAGCATTTAGCCCATGCAGTGTGGGCACATGCCCCACTGCATTGAGAACAACATTTGTTGCCTGGAAAAGGGAAAATAATATTTGCGCGATTCTTCTTTAATGACTAAAGAAACTTCAGTAGACACTATGAGAAGCTAAAATGTACACATACCTTAGCAGTTTCAGAGAAATAACATATGTTGAGAAAAATATGGATGGCTGCCATTGCTGACCACTTTTAGAAAAATCTAGTTGCCTAGTTGTAATCAATGACCTGGTGCTTTTAAAAGCCACTGACCTGGTATTCGTATACAGCCAGGAAAGCCAGACTAAGGTTTGAACTCCTGATCACATATATGTCTAGGCTAGTGAAAGAAAGTACTGAAACCTGGGCTGCCATGCTGATCCCCTGGCTGATTGTGTCTGAGTTACTGAACCAATACAAGTGTGCAGAAAGTGTGAAGACAGAATTCCCTGATCTGTATACTTGTGCTAGGTCAGTGACTGTTGAATTCACTGGATCTGCTTGACAGGCAGGTAACTAAAGATTTATTCAGGAGAAGTCACAAATTATATCCTTTATATTTTATCTTGAATAGATCTATTTTCTCCACCCCTTATGTTACCTATCAATGCATGTACACAAGTTAGCATTTGGTTTTTAATCATTTGACTTTAGCATGTGTCATATTTTTCAGGTTCCAAGGTTATCCTAGCAGGAGGAACTAAGCTACCTTATGCTCATAAACCTGTTCTCTTACACAATGGAGAGCTGACCTGTCAGACTCAGAGCGGAATGCTAAACAACATCTATTTAAGTACAACACCAATTTTAGCCTGAGCAGTGTAAAGGATACAGATGCCAAAGAGCTTACAAAGATGCTAACACAGACTTTAATGTTGAGAAGGTAGGACCCACAGCTTCTCAACCTTTATCCTTCATAATGGTTGTCAGATATAACCACTGGAAAGTTTGTTGTTCCCGAGAAGGGCAAAACTTGATACAAGAAAAATCCCTGGTTAAAAGGGGCTGTTTTGGCAAAATATAAACCACCACATTAAGAGACTGGACTGAGGATGACCCAAATGGCATGGGGAAGGGAGGTGTCTGCCAGTACTCTAGTAGAAATGAACACTTCCAAAGCTTCACCATTTATTTACTTCTGCTTAGTAGTAGCCTGTTCTTCACTAGGTTTGGAAATGTTCCTTTTTAAAATAGGGGCCCTGAACCTTGAAGGGGCCCATTAGTTTCAGCCTAACGGTGGTCAGAAACAGATGACAATGGTCACAATCGATCAGCACATTTAGGAGCTGTAAAAATACCTAGACCACCTAGTAAAATATCGGTGAAGATGTGGTGTGTTTTCACTTAGAACCCATATTTGACCCCCCATGGTTACTGCTTTCAGTGCCCCCCTATGTGTCCATGTTATCGCCTTTTTTGCAGAAGGAACAGATACAGACCTATAAGACAGTCGCATAAGGTGCGGGTAGAGCGCAGTTGTTTTCTATCAATACCGGGTTCTGCAAATCGTTTTCCCCAGGGGTTTCTGCTGTCAAACTCAAGCAACATTGTGGCGCTTTTCATCGATGTATACAAAGAACCCAGTGTTATTATTGCAGTTAGTGTTCTTAACCCCATTGTGAGAATACCCTGTGTTATGGATTTGCAGAGCTGTGCAGAGTGGTGGTGGAATTCATACTGTTATTTATACTGCACAATGTTCCCCCCACAGGTCATCCTACTCTTCTGTCTGTCTCAGGCTGTTAAATGTAATATCTACATGGTGTACACTGGGACGATATATGGTCGAGAGGAGGGCTAGTGGAGATCAAGGAGGAGAAAGGGGAGGGGGAGAGTAAGAAGGCATGGTTAAAAGCAGCTTCCGCCTGCACTGCTTCTGCATTTGTTTGTTTTAATTGTTGTTATATCTACATGCTTGTTGATCAGATCCCAATGTTCCGTGAGCTGTAGATCTGAAATTTTTTTTTTCGGGGAGGGTTCCCACAGATCCCGAACTTTTTGACGAACGAGTGTTCCGGATCAAGGTAAAAAGGTTAGAGAAACACTCTGAGGTAGAGAATGGGGAGAAATGCAGTAGGTTAAGGATCACAAGCTGCTGTGTTTTTTAAAAAATTGATGTTAGACACAACAGGAACCAGCTGCTTTAAAAATGTTAGCTGGTGAAAACATGAGAGGAGGATGATTTCTTATCCTCCATTGAGGTACACGGAACAGGAAGTCCCAACTTAAACCTTCAGGCGTATACTGCTGGCATAATAGGAGGACTGCGATATCTGACAAACAATGAAAAGAACTGTAAGCCCTCCCACTGCCAGCATATCTCGCAGTTTTTTGCTGGGAGTCCAGGTGGCGTACATGGACATCTTTTTTTTTTCGCTCAGCTCAGTGATTTTTTAAGACTTAACCTACCAATTCTGTTTTGTAGCAACTTTTTAGTGCGCTCTTTCAATCAAGATTTATGCTCAATAATAGCCTGCAGGAGGTATCTCTGCTTTCTTGCAGCTACCTGGCCACTGTTGTCCTCAGAGTCTCGACTTTTGGTCTTTCTGTGTGATACAGGTCTGCAAGAAGCTCTTTGACATTGTGGAGTGTGCCTTTGAAAGTGACGCTGGCGGAACGGATGGACACCACTTGAGCACTTTCCAGCACTAAGTTCTGGCCCAAGTTAGCTGTGGAGGTGCTTTCCAGGTGCAGAGCTGTTAGCATTGCCTTTGTAGCTGTTTCTGATACTCACTTTCTGGAAAATGGGGTCCTGAGTGTAGCGATGGTACATCTCTGCCCACTGGGTGTATTTATGAATTCTCCTTTTCTCCACTTGGCTTGTATGGGAAGGTTTTGTAACAGATGAATATTGGGTACTGAGTTGGCTGTTGTGAATTACACTGGAACTAGGTTAGTGATATGCATTGCACACCTCTAGTGGGGCCTACATTCACACCATACGGGTTATTGGGAGGAATATTCTCGTGCTGTTGCTGCTAGATACTTAAGGAGACCATGAGCGAGACAATTGGTCCCTGTTTGTTTCTGGCGGCGACTGCACGGAGTGGATTGAGTCCCTTGGGTGCTTTGTGAGTTATTCTAACTCGTAAGCTAACTTCAGGTTTCTCTTTTCGCGAAGGTCGTTTCAGAATGTTACCTTATTCAGGAATTGTCTCGTGTTTCCCTTTTTTGAATCCGCTGTTTGAGTTCACAGAAGGAGATTCTATTTACTTTCTGGACTGTGTCATTCTAGGGTATATTGCTGTGTATGCCTCCTGTTTTGGGTCTAGTCAGACGACACGTAATCTTATTTTGTTGTCAGTTAAGCAGATGGGTCAATGAGAAGGGTGCCGCCGGATAACGTCTAGTTTCCCAATTTTTGATAAGGGGTCTAGATAGGCCATTGTGCTGTAAGTCTGTGGTTCAAGGTCAGGTTCTCTTCCCGAGTTTTCGCAGTCTAGGGTCTTTCAAAACCAGGGCTGTATGAGAGCTTTCTTGTGCGTGTTTTTGGCATAAGGGCCTCGTGTCTTCCATGTTTGGTAGCATTTTGAGATACCTCGGACTTCGAGCTCACATGTTTTCCAAGAAATTTCGTTAGGTGCTCAGTGTTGCAGTCTGCTTCTAAGCCATCGTTTTCTTAGATGTAAGCTTCAGGTGGGGGCGCTTCTTTGTCTACAGGGGGTTAGTACCCTCGTTCTCAGTTGCTTAGGTAGGTCTGTAATGCTTATATTACCAGTTTTCGCATCGTTGATTGCCCCACTTCGGTTCATATGAGAGTCTACTTTTGGACTACTGAAAGTATCGGGTTGGAGGGTAAGTCGCCAGTGGGTTCGGTACGAACGGGAGTATTTCTGGTGACCTCACTAGACTAAGGAACAGGACAAGGTGCCCTCCTCTGGTCTGATGATGATATTTGGTCAGGGGCAGGGACTGAACCCATGACGGGCTGATTTAGCCCGAGGACCGAACGAGATGGATCTATGTCGAGTGCAGTGTGGGAGCGAGGAGGTGGTATTATTTAGTCTCTGATCCCGACCATGAAGCACGCTCAAACTGTCAGACTTTCCGGCGCGGTGGCGTGGTGAGTCGGGTTGAGGGTCCGGACACTGTGCTGTGTGATGGAGCTGGTGGGCAGTGGGAAGGTGTGAGGCATAGTCATCCATGGGTACGGGGTGTTCACCGCACACAAAAAAGAGGCAAAATCCCTACCCCCTACACCCCCCAATTCGATGTATGTATGTGTAAGCTGGAACAACTGTCAGAGGTGATCGGTGCAGTGTGAGGGACCAGTTGACAGCACGATTTCTCCCTGTTTGGATTTTCAGTGAAGCGGCTGAAAGACATGGGAGGGAGAGAGGAATTCCAGTTGCCTTGTTGAAATCCATGCAGGAGATCGTTGCTGTCACTGTCTCCCTCCACTGCACTGATATGCATCCCTGAGACTGTGTCATCGGATTTCCCTCCTGGGCTCCCCCCCGTGACATGTCCCTGATAGGCCTGAATCCCCGTCTTCTCTGGCAGCATGTCCAGCTCCTCACTCCCCCCCATCCTCCACAGCAGTGCATAGATGAGAGAGGATTCGGCTCTGCCTTCTCCTCACACCCTCTGTCTCTCCCTCCTCTCTCTCCCCCCCACCTCTCCCTCGTCGTCTTCCCCCCTCTCTCCCCACTATTTCTCCCCTTCTTTCCTCCGCCTCTCTCCCCCCTTCCTCCCCTCCACTCTTCCCCCCCTCTCTCCCCCCTCTCCTTCTCTCCTCCTCTCCCCCCTCTCTCCCTCCCTCCCTCTCCCTCGTTCCTCCCATCCCCTTCCTCCCTCCCTCTCTCCCATCCCTCTCCCTCCCCTGCCTCCCCCTGCCTCCCCTCCCTCCTCTCTTCCCCTCCCTCTCTTCACCCCCCTCCCTCTCTCCCCTCTCCCTCGCTCGTCCCCTCTCTCTCCTTTTCTCCCCCTCTCTCCCCTCGACCTCTCTCCCCTCCCTCCTCCCTGCTCCTCCCTCCTCACTCCCCCCCTCTCTCCTCCTCCTCTCTCTCCCTCTCTCTTCTCACTCCCTCCTCCCCTCCTCTCCCTCCTCCCTCTCCCCTCCCCCCCACTCTCTCTCCTCCCTCCTCCTCCCTCCCTCCTCTCCTCCTCCCTCCCTCCCTCTCATCCCTCCCTCACCCTCTCCCCTCCCTCTCTCTCCCTCCCTCTCCTCGTCCTCCCTCCTCCTCTCTCTTTCTCCTTCCCTCCTGTCCCTCTCCTTCTCTCTTTCCCCCTCCCTCCTCCTCTCTCCCCCCCCTCTCCCCTTCCCTCTCTCTCTGGATCCCCTCCCCTTTATCTCTCTTTCCCCTCTCCTCCCCTTCCCTCTCTCCCTCTCCTCCCCTCCTCTCACTCTCTCCTCTCTCCCTCCTTCTCCCCCCTCCCTTCCCCTCTCGCCCCTCCCCCCCCCTCCCTCTCCCTCTCCTCCTCCCCCCTCTCCCCCCCCTCTCTTCCCCTTCACTCTCTCTCCCCCACTCTCTCCCCTCTCTCTCCCCCCTCTCCCCTCCTCTCTATTCTCCTCTCCCCTCTCTCTCTCTCCCTCTCCCCCCCACTTTCTCCCTCCCTCCTCTCTCTCTCTCCCCCTCTCTCTCACTCTTTCTCACCTCCCTCTCCCCCTCTCTCCCCATCCCCCCATCCCCACCCCTCTTCTCTCCCTATCTCTTCCTTCCCCCACTCTCTCCCCTCCCTCTTCCCCTTTCCCTCCCCCCCTCTCTCTCCCTCCCTCCCTCTCCCTTCTCCCCTCCTCTTCTCCCTCCCTCCCTCTCTCCACCCTCTCGCTCCCAGGACCCCTCTCCCTCCTCCCCCTACCCCCTTTCCCTCCCTCCCTCCCCCCTCTCTTTCTCTCTCCCCCTCCCTCTCTCTCTTCCCTCCCCCTTTCCCTCTCTCCCCCCCTTCTCTCTCTCACCCTCCCCCTCCCTTCTCTCTCCCTCTCTCTCCCCCCTTTTCTCTCTCTCACTCCTCCTCCCCTCCCTCATCTCCCCCCCTCCCCCCTCTTCTCTCCCCTCTCCCCTCTCTCTCCTCCTCCTCCCCCTCCCTCTCCCCCCCCCCCCCCTCTCTCTCCTCTCTCTCCCCCCCCCCCCTCTCTCCCTCTCCCCCTCTCCCTCTCTGATTTCTGATGCTCACATGCCCATTGTTGGCAATTTTGGCTGTGCACACTGGTCAGAACAGGGCACCAACTGGTCTATGACTACGCAGCCCTATACGCAACAAACTGCAATGCCATGTGTGTTTTGACACCTGTTTATCAGGAATAACGAACACTTTTTCAGCAATTTAAGCTAGTGTTCTTCTATTGGATCAGACTACACAGCCAGCCTTTGCTCCCCATGGGTATCAATAAATCTTGACCATCCATGACTGTTTCGCAGTTCCTCAATTTTCCTTCCTTGGACCTCTTTTGGTAGACCCTGACCACTGCAGACTGGGAACATCCTACAAGAGTTGCAGTTTTGGAGTTCCTCTGACCCAGTAGTCTAGCCATTACAATTTGGCCCTCAAAGTTATTCAAATGCTTATGCTTGCCCATTTTTTTTACTGCTTCAAACACATCAACTCCAGGGACAACATATTCACTTGCTATTTAATATATCCCACCCACGTTCAGTCATAATGTTATGGACGATTGGTGTATATTATTTGTAAATATAATGCATATATTCTCTGTTGTTCTGTTCTTTCTGCCTGCTGCCTGGTTAGGTTTTCAGATTCCTGGGATGTCTGCAGTTCACTGAATGCAGAAGAGAACTGGAATGAGCTTGCCCGGGCCTGTCTGCACCACATGGAGGTGGAATTTGCAATACGTGTATATAGGAAGATTGGAAATGTGGGCATGGTGATGTCACTAGAACAGATAAAGGTATATTATTAAAATGTCACTGCAGTAAAGGAAATTTGTCAGGAGAGAAATACAAAATCTGCCCCTGACGGTTTCTTCTAAAAATTCTACCTGCTTGACTGTCACTTTTACTGTCTTGCTTCACTGCCCATGACAAATGTGCAGGTGAGGATGTCTGATTTTATTTTACATTTTCTGATAACCACGGTCAGTGACAGTGAAAATGTGAAAGGCAGTACGTCATCTAAAAAGCCAGACAACTAGCATTTTTAGAAGGAGAGCTACAATGGAAAGTACCAAATTATTCTTATGACAGGTTTCAATTTCTGAACATCTGCCTAACTAATAAAGCTAATTAAATAATTCAAGTAAGGGTCTGAGAGTGTCTTGCATTAACAGGAATATCTCAATTATTTTTTATGTCAGAATATGATATCCTAATAGTGCTTTTGCACACGTTAGGACACTCATCATATGAGAAGTCTCCAACACAGATGAATCCACAGGATTTTCTTAACACGTTATTGACCATGTATGGGACTTTGATATCTGCATGAATATGTCTAAAACCCTGCCATTCTACTATGAAATGCCATAGCCTTTACTGCCCACTAAAATGTTTCCATTGTCTGATTGAGGTATCCTAGCTAGAGGGGAGTGCAGGGCTTGATCTGGACCCAGGGATCAGTTTGAAGACTAACACAGGTATTTGCCAGTACCCCAAAGTGACTGCGCTACAGCACTGTTTCTAGAAGAATTCTTTCTCTTTCAAGGCTGATTTCACAGAGCTTTAACACTCTCCATTTTTTCAGCCATGTGACTAATCTTTAAATTCCATTGGACATTGGACACTTTCTGAAAATATAGGTTTCCTCAGGGCATTTTTTCAGCCAGTGAGAACCCGACGGAACTGAATATGCAGTTCAGTTTTGGGCACCAATTCACAAAAAGAACATTGGGGAACTTGAGAAAGTACAGCAACCAAACTGATAAGAGGCATGGAGGAGCTCAGCTATGAGGAAAGATTAGAGGAACTGAATTTATTCTCTCTTGAGAAGAGGAGATTAAGGGGGGATATGATGAACATGTATAAATACATCAGTGGTTCATATAGTGAACTCAGTGTAGAGCTATTCACCTGAGGTCATCACAGAGGACAAGGGGGCACTCTTTACATCTGGAGGAAAAGAAATGTAATCTCCAAACTCAGAAAGGTTTCTTCACAGTGAGAGCTGTGAAAATGTGGAATAGATTCCCTCAAGAGTTGGTTCCGGCCAGTTCAGTGGATTGCTTCAAAAAAGGCCTGGATTGTTTCTTAGATACGTAGAATATAACTGGTGGTTATTAACATTTATAGGTAGTTGATCCAGGGAATATCTGATTGCCTCTTGGGGGATCAGGAAGGAATTTTTTTCCCAGCAGGAGCAAATTGGATCATGCTTTGCTGGGTTTTTTGCCTTCCTCTGGATCAACTGTGGGTATAGGATTATAAATTTTTTTTTTTTTTATGGTTGAACTGGATGGACTTTTGTCTTTTTACAGCCAGACTGTGTAACTATGGAACGCAGTTTCGGCACCTCCAGCACTGAATGTATGTAATGGCAAGGGGTGCTGGGGTGTGCTGGAAGCTCTGTTCTGTTGGCTGCTGGGGGATCTATTTTCACTGGAGGGGATCTATTTTTGTGTGGCAGTCTATTGTTGCTGCGGGGGTCAATTGTTCAGGGGTCTGGAAATTAAAAAAAAAAAAAATACTTCTGCAGTGACTAAATCGTGGTCCAAATCTGCTTGTCCCTCATGATATTCTACTTGTCCTGACAAAAATTTTTTTTTTTTAACCAAAACCATATTTAAACTCCCAAAACATTATACAGTATATTTTCTGAAAGCAGTGACGTTCGAGAATAACATAGTGGTGGTTCAAATTTATGTCACACGATATTACCACAAAGGTCTAGGAAACACAAAATTTCAATAAAAAATACACGTAATTTTAGGTCACAGAACAGCAATAAATTTTGATGAGGTTGCACCGAGTTTAACAAACGTTAGCACCCTATATTTTCTATAGGTGACACTTTTAAAGCCCCTTATAGGTCACCAGTTTAGTGTTACAGAGGAGGTCTGGTGCTAGAATTATTGCTCTCACTCTGGCGTATGTGTAACATATATGTAACATGAGTTTCGCAATTGATGTTTTCATGCGTAGGTGCTCTGACATGTGCTTTTACATTTATATGTGGGTGGGGGGCCTTCACAATTTTTTTTTTGGGGGGGGGGGTATTATGTGCTTGGGTGTAACTTTAATTTTTTACAATTAAAAAAATAAATTTCTTTACTTAACTTTTTTTATCATATAGAGGGCAAAAAGTCCCCTATGTGATTATTTTTGGTGACAGGTTCTCTTTATTGAGACATGCAGGGTTTGAGAGACCATGCATGCCTCCCCTGTACTCAACTGGATGTAATGGAGTGTACATCACACTACATTACATTCTTTCTCGGCCTCGATGGCTGTGAAATCTGTCAACGGGGGCCCGGAAATGACGTCATAACGTCACTTCCTGGTCAGGAGAAGAAGAGGAGGGGATCGGACGTGTCCACTCTCCTCCATCCCATCTACATACTGGCACCTGCTGAAATGGTCCCGGACCCGCAGATAGGCAAGCAGGGCCCAGGAGACATAGCGGGCAAGCTGGAGGTACGCGGGGTGGAGTCTGGCACTGTGGGCTGTGTGGAAGCAATCGGCAGCAGCGCTGCCGCCCAAATGCTTCCACCTGACAGGTGAGCCCTGCTGCTTGCCCGCAGCAGTGCTAAAGGTTTAAAGAAACTACCTGCCTGGCACCTCCAGAACTACATGTCCCGGGCATTGGGTGATACAAACTGAACATCCCTGATTGTTGCTTAAAGGGATCTACTGTTGAGGGAGAAGTCTGTTGTTGCTGGCTGCTGGGAGATCTGTTGTTGCTGCTGGGGGTCTATTGTTGCAGGGGCAGTATTTTGTTGTGGGGGTCCATTGTTGCTGAGGGGTTTATTGCTTTTATTGTTATCATTAACATATTTCATACAAGTTGCTTATTGCCACAAAATGATACTTGGCTCTATATTCTCTATAAGGCGTAGTACTGGGAGGTGGGTAAGGGGTGGAACCAAGGAACTATGCTCAAAGGTGGGTAGGGGGCAGAGATAAGAAGTGACTCAGAAGGGAGGAGTTCCGGCGCCTATTCTCTGAGAAAAAAGCCCTGGGTTTCCTTATACTGGTCTGTTATCTTTGTGAATTGAGCCTTTTGTGCTCTGTATATTGTAATATTAATACATTGGACATTTCTACGCAGACTTAGGCCTCTTTTACATGGATGGTTAGGTGTATAAAGTAGGTTTCAGCTGCACAATATTAGCAGATTCTTGAGGCTGGGATTACAGGTATATGTAGACTGCAGCCGCTTAGCATGTACAAAGCAATGACAGGCTAAAAGGAGCTGTCACTGTTCACATGTATCCACACATTGAGTGGTTGCCTGCAGTTAAGGATGGATGAGCATCCGTCTGCACCCAGGGTGGCTCATCCACCCCTAACCAACTGATTGATGTGCAGATTCTTGCCATTGGAATCCATTTCATGTACTTAATCTGCCTTACTTTGTATCTATGGTGTGGATCCTGCCATAGATGATGAACTCCTGTAGAATATACATTAGTAAAAGTTTTTTGGGCCCAATCAATACATTAATTATTTTTAGAATACTCACCACATGGTACACCATCAGGTCCATGGTTTTCTTTTCTATGTGTATAGGTATAGTATATACAGATTAGTTTATAAGATGAAGAGCCTAATACAAGGTAAAAAAGTACAGCAGTCATTGAAATGTAAGCAAACTGCATTCTTGTTTTATAAATGTTATGTATTTTTCTTGCAGGGGATAGAGGATCACAATCTCCTGGCTGGTCATCTTGCCATGTTCACCAATGACTTCAACTTAGCACAGGACCTGTACCTAGCTTCTAGCAGTCCTATATGTGCACTTGAAGTAAGTTCAATACTGAATAAGTCTCGAAGGGCCTTTGTCTCTAAAACCAAACCTACCCCAGGTATAAAGTGCTCAAAATGCCTCCAGTCGTGGCTCAATGCCTCAGTGCCATTACCTGGAGTGCCAGGCTGTTCTGACAGGGAAACCTCTGACACTCCAGGTAATGTCAGAACTTGCTGTTAAGTCAAGCCCCCCCAGATTTCTATTCGTCCATTGCTTTTTGTTTTGTGTTGTGTGGGGCAGGGTCTGGTCCCTCACTCAGATATGTAAAGTTGCCCAGGATTCTGGCAGTGAGGCCTTTCCTGTTTGCATACAAGACTTCATATATAACACTTATGTGTGTTGACTTTAGGTAAGACGAGACTTGCAGCATTGGGATAGTGCCCTACAACTTGCAAAACGCCTGGCTCCCAACCAGATACCATTCATATCAAAGGAATACGCAATACAGCTGGAATTCACGTGAGTCCTCCTCCAGGATTCTTTCATTTTAGCTTTAGTTTGGTGCATGTTAGAGTATTGTGGGCTGATTTGTGTATATAGGCCATCAGAATGGCCTCTGCAGTGGACAGTATACCTATGTAAAGTAAAAATATTGTTACACCAATTTTAAAATTACATTATCTCATGGCACTATGAGAGATCATATAGTGCGCAAAAATGAACTGGACTGAAGAGGCCCTTGTAGTAGTTTATTCTCTTAAAGTATATCTAAACTCACATACAAAACGGAATGTACTGCAGCTTACAAGTCCTTAGATGTGGTTGCTGCATTCATTGTCTTTTTTTTTAAGGATATGTACATTTTCTGAAAGTACAGAAAAATCTTGTTGATCCTGCCAGAAATTTGGTGTAGTAGTAATTTTCTGTGCACTGAACTGAAATCTCAAACAATGTAATCAGCCTTCCCAGCTATCATCTGTGAACTTTAATTTAAATATAAAAATAACATTTATCTACTTTCCACTACACCGAGCCCTTTATTAGCAATCCCAAATGATCCAGATTTTCCACCCAGACTTCGAAACAAGGCTGTTCCCTATGTAGATCAACACATGCCCTTACTTGCCATTCATTGTTTTCATAGGGTGAATTGAAACATTACAAGCAGAACACAAAGAATCACCTCTTAATTTTTGGTTTTATATCCAACTGCATGATTTTCTGAAAAATAGTAAGCATAAGGATTCATTGTCCAGATCACTTATGAACTTTGAAAATATATGTTTCAAAAGAAAGCCTGTTTATAAAGTCACAACCCTGTTATATGCTTGGCTCTCACATTCAGACAGTGAGACATATGACAAATCCAAACAGACTTGGGAGAAATACTTGCAAATACAAATCTCAGACAACCAATGGCAGCAGAAAGCTTGCGTTTTTACCCATAAATGCTCTCTGAGTACATGAATGCAAGAAATCTCCTTTAAAATTCTCAAACAATGGTATATTACACCGATTAAAGTTAAGAGTTGGTCTACTTTTGCCAATGATCTATGTTGGCGATGCAAATCAGACAAAAGTTCTTTTTTTTTTGTAGTGGTCATGTTCTCCATTTTGGCACCACATTAAAAAATGGATTATACATATCACAAACACTAAATTAGCATTAAATGTAGCTTGTTGCCCACTGCATATACCCGCATACCTCAAAAGATACAAAATTCTCTCACAAGACATCTGTTAAATGCAGCGAAATCACTTATCCCATATCCTTGGAAATGTACTTATGTGCCAGCCATTAAGGAATGGTTAATAACGGTTGATTCCATTTATAACATGGAGGAAACCCTAGCTATGCTGCATCTGTCCCCCGCCGGCACTAAGGGTAAGAACTCGGCAATCACATGACCGCTGATCACTGACTTCTCACAGCCGCTGTGAGCAGAGTGGGATTGTCAGTCACTGCTCTCTGCTCAGCCCCCCTGCACTCACTGAAACGCTGGGCTGTGGAGGGGGAAGGAGCGGCTGTTCAGACTCTCAGTGCTTAGCTGAGAGGCTGAGCCAAGTGCTGCTCCAGACTCTGGAGTGGATCCTGACTTTGAAGTTGGTATCTTTCCCCAGCCTGGACCGGCTGAGTGACGTCAGCCGACAGTGGGCGTTAGCCTGCTGTTGGCTGAAAACGGGTCACAGGAGTGCGGAACGAACCTGTGATTGGCTGTATTTCTCCTTTAAATTGCTATCCCATCAATTTCTATAAACACATTAATGGATCCATTTGGCTACATTTGTTGGGCCATTACTCTAACCCACTATTTTCTTCTTTTTTCCTTGGTATGAGTGTTGTTCATTCAATGGGATTGATATACTAAAGGCAAATAGACTGTGCACTTTGCAAAGTGCCAATGCACTCTGCAAGAGGAAGTGTTTCAGTGCTTTGTAAATGAGCAGAAGCTCTGTTGACTTCCATCATCCAATCATGTGCAAGCAAAAATGCTGTTTTTGTTATGTTCCTTGCACCTGATTGGCTATACTTTGCAAAGAGAAACTTTACCTCATTTACTAAGGTTTGGAGCAACTGCACTTAGAGTGTAATTGCATGTTGCAAAGTGTACAGTCTATCTGCCTTTAGTAAATCAACCCCAATAACCCTACATGTGTACAGCAAAGCGACATATACCTTGTTTAGATTGCATATTGCCATTATACATCAAACTTTGCTGTACCAAAGTTACTTTTCTTATTTCTGTATACATTGGTACTAGGTATATTGTAATCTGAAGTATCTGGTTTTCATAATTCAATAAAACTTTGTTGTGAAAAAAAAATAATAGCTAGTAATTCCTTCCTTATGTAATGGTGTTGAAGAATGAGGAGGTGTTTGAAGTCCAAATCAGGAGAGCTGTCACAGGAGACAACACATAGATATACTATGAGTGAGCATTCTCTCCTTAGGACAAGAACTGGTATTGGCAGAATCAACAAGTGAAAATAAAAGGAAAAAATTCTGAAAAAGACTAATGCAGCCACCACCTTTAAGGACTAATAGACTGCAACAATTTTGTGTGTGTGATTGTTAATTCACTTTTTTGAGTAAGTATCTGTATAGAAGCATGCTCTCTACTTTCATGTTTAGTTCACTTACGACTCACTGCCTTCCTCACCTTACTATTGTTTGAGGAAGCTTTTCACAAGTTATGTTTTAAATGTACAGAGAATGTTCACTTACAGTGCATCTATAGCCAGAAGCTGAGGTATTACAATTCCTGTCAGGTTTAACTGCTGTCAGAGGCTCCGTTGGAGAGGTTTCTTCACTTCTTGTCTAGTAAAGTTAAAGCAGAGCTCCACCCAAAAGGGGAAGTTTTGCTTTAAGGCTTTGTCCCCTGCTCCCCATTAAGGATTGGCACCTTTGGGGAGTGGTAGGGAGGGAGCGGGTAACCAAATTTGACAGGTACCCGCTCCCACTTCCGCTGCAATCGCCTAGGCGATTGGAAGTGGAAGTTGTCCTCCCCCCTCCCTCCCTGTACTCTTCAGGGACACGTGACAGGTCCCAGAAGACTACAGGACCATTCACAAAGCGCAACGCTTCTCGCGCATGTGCAGTGGGCACCCAGCTGTGAAGCCGCAAGCTGTCACAGTCGGCTGCCCACACTGAAGATGCCAGTGCCAGGGAGAGAAGATGGCCGATTAAACCAGTGGTGGTGAAGCCATCGCTGGACCGAGAGACAGGTAAGTGGCTGTATTCTAAAAGTCAGCAGCTACCGTTTTTGTAGCTGCTGACTTTTTTTTTTTTGTCTTTTGTGTCAGTTTTGTCTTTTTGTTGTTGTCCTTATCCCTGTTGCATATTTACCATTGTCTGCTAAAACGTCCCCAAAGGCTCTCTAAACAGAGTTCAAGGCAGCAGTAAACCCTAACAGGGGTTCTAACCCTTCCCCATTCTAGACAAAACACAAAAAAGATTTGGGTATAGATACACTTTAAAATATGGTAGGTTCTTAACAGTGGCAGTTATTCTGTAATCAGAGACTGCATGCTCTGTTTCTTCCACAAATTGCGTAATCAGTCATAATTCCTGTCTACTATAAAGTGTAATTAATCAGTAGTCTTCAGTTATATTTACTGTGCTGACTAGCATAATAGACATCCATATAAAATAAATATTTAATTCTATATATTTAACTTTTCTATGTCCCTTTCCTGTTATAATTATTGCAGATAATTGTGCAAAATGTCTGGTTATTTCTGTATTTTCTTGTGCGATAATTAAATATTTATGTTGCAGAGGTGACTATGTCAATGCACTTGCACATTATGAGAAAGGAATGACTGGAGACAGTAAGGTATGTTTTTCAGGATGAATAATTAGGTATTAAGAGCCCTATCTGAAGACAGATAAGATGGAGATAAAAGACAAGCCTCAAGCTACATTCACACGAATGATGGCATGTGGATAGTTTGCTACGTTGAGAGGTGGTTGAATGTACCCTAAGTTTTCCTAGAAAATCAAGGGTAGTTTTAAAGCAAGGACTATGCAAAGAAATGTATATTTTTGAATGTTGTTTCCAAACCGTGCAAAATCCCAACAATTCAGCTATGTATTTTTATTAAGCAAATGGAATTGGATGTTCAATCTCTCCTCTGTTGTCAGTCAGTAGAAACTGTTCTAAAGATATAGAAGGGATTTTGTGCAATTCTGGTTTAGAGCTACTCTGTGACAGATAACATGAGGATCAGTGAACAGGTTCTGTTGTTAAACCATCTAATAGAAAGCATTGGGGATGGTGTTGTACTTGGTCTGCTTGACCACCAATATGCAGAAGAAAATAGACGCTTGGGAGGGAGACTTGGCAATAGAGTAGCTAAAAAAAATATTGTTCTCTACCTTTTGGCTAAGATCAAGTTTAGTATCTGTTCTTATCAGTTTAATATCTGATATGTCCCCTATCTAGGGACCATATATTAAATGGATTTTTAGAGCAGGGAGATGGAAGAAGAGCTTGCTCTGTCCACTCCACCTATCAACTGGGTATTGCAGTACTTCAGTACTATCAGGAATGGTGCAAAAAAAAAAAAAAAATCACTAAAAGAAGAGTGTCCATGCCAAGGTTTAGGTCTGGTATATTTATAATGGAACTTAGAATTGGGCTGGTAAATCAAGCAATCAATATAAAAGTTACCTTCAAGAGACTCTGTATTGATTTATAAGCAGCGGCAGGCATGTTTCCTAGGGTATGTCCAAAAGTGACTTTTAAGCCTGTAAACTTGCAGTACTTTATCACATAAACAATGACTTACATTAGGAAATGATCAATTGGCCCCATCTTCTCTCTACTCCCATGCCTTGCCATTGGCCCATCACAGTCATTAGCATCGTCTTTGACCTATCACAAGGCTATAGAAGTGGCTGGTTCAAATGCTGAAAGTAAAAGAAATAAAGAAAAAAAAAGGAAGGCAGACTTCTAGAAAATGGATGCTGCTTTGGAAGGGTTCTGTAGTAATAGAAGTGATGGGTGTCTCTCTGTTTGGCGTCCTTCTTCTTTCTCTCACCAGAAATGTGCTCCATCTCCCCCTCCCCCAAGGAGCACACACAGAGCCACCAGGGTCGGAAGTCTGACTTGACTTACAGAGGCTGCACTGGGAGAAGATGATGCCACCACAGGGAGGAGAAAAAATGTGGCCAGAGAACCTAAAAACTCCAGGCTCAGCCACTCCTTCTCTTTGCATGTCCGTGCAAAGGTGACAAGAGAGAGCAGGGACCGGAAGACTGTGGTGGGAGGCAGGTTGGATCAGAGTAGGGAGGTTCAGAGTCTGGGGTGCAGGGAGTTTCAGTGGTAGGGGTGCTGGGTGATAGGGAGATGTCAGTGTGTAGAGAGCCAGGGGTACTGGGTTCTTCATAGGCCTTAATTCAAAAGTGCCACCAGATATGATGCAGGCTTCTAGACCTCATTTCCTACTTATCTAAGGTGAATGCATGGGAGTGGGAAGTGAATAGTTAGCCTTTGGGCCTCCTTCAAACCAGTGATTAGCGGTTCATTTAGAATGCACCCCTATGCCCAAGTAGAACTATGTTGCCTTGTATTGGCAGCCCATATTTAATTACAACACACATTAATGCAACACACATTAACTTGCACAGCAATGGAACAGGATAATGTGAAAGGGCCCTAAATAATTCGATCTGCACTGCTGGCTGTGTGATGTGTGGACTATGGGGACTTGGGAGAGGGTGTCCCAAAATGGCAGGTAGTATGTGCTTTCCATGTGTTATGCTATAACTCTTCCAGCTTAGTAAATTTCACTTTCTGTATATATATGTTTTAGATCCTAATAAGTAAGTTTGAAAGTGGTTCGGAGTTAGACACTTCTGTTGGTAAAAGAATCAACATGCAGTATTTTACAAAACACATAAAATTGTCTTATGATTGATTCTAACTTAAAAGAAAGAAAAAAAGGACGGACATTGCATCAACCTCTCCAGTAAGGATAGTGGTGTTCAGGCTTCGTGGCTCCAGTTACGCAATGACATGTTTCACCCCACCCACCGGGGCTTGGTCTCAGAGGCGGGGAGGACAAACAGAGCTGCTGGTTAGGTCCGCATCACCGGCCATGATCTGTGATTGCAATCAGGTGTGTGTATGGGGTATCACCGATCACGGCCAATGATGCAGACTTAACCAGCAGCTCTGTCAGTCCTCCCCACCTCTGTGACCAAGCCCTAGTAGGTGAGGCAAAATGTGTCAGTGGGTGTGGCTGGAGCGGCGGCTGAGGCCAACACCGCTGTCCTTACTTGGGAGGTTGATGCAGTGTCCATCCTTTTTCTTTAAGCATTTCCTTCACATACAAGCAATCAGCTCCTGGTACAGGAGGTCTCCTTTTGCTAATAAACTTAGAACATGACATTCTAATTTTCGGGCCCTGTCCGTTCACATCACCTCCGTACTGTAGCCCAGCTTTTGCTAGGGCTTGCACAGGCACTGTAATCCCTGGCCTTGCAGCTCACACCACTAATTACCACCCAACACCCAACCTCTGCTGCTAGCCGGGAGAACTCATCTGGAGTAATAGCTGACAGTTACTTGTGGAGGAGCCTCCAACCACCCAGGCCCCACTTCACCACCACTGTGCCAAAAATACTTGACTCTGTCTCTTTAAGAAACGTGTTTTTAACTAGCTAAAAGTGATCACAAAGTAATATAAATACACTTTTTAGTTTCAAGAACATGATGAAACGTGCCTTGCTGGAGTAGCTCGTATGTCAATCCGAATGGGAGACATCCGACGTGGAGTTAACCAGGCTCTCAAACACCCCAGCAGGTTGCTGAAGAAAGATTGTGGAGCCATTCTTGAAAGTATGAAGGTATGTTATCTGTTTGACTGCTATATGGTCAGGCCACACAAAAGTAGTACTTCCTTTATAAATGAAGTCTAGTGGGTTGAATAAGCCACTGGCTTTTTTTTTTTTTTGATTACTCAAAAGGTAGGAACACCTCACCATAGTTCCCGGTTCTGTTCCCACCCAGTCTACAGTCAATCTCACTCTGATAAAGCAGGGTTGATCCTAAATCTGGCCATACGTAGTAAGATTTCTCTTGCTCAACCCTACAGGCTTAACTCGAGAAAGCGATCGATTTCCCCATCCATGCTAAACAGCATTTGTGAAGGGAGTACCCAAACATTGCGGCACCTGACTGGATGCATTCGCTGTTCGACCAACAATGTTCTGCCCAGCTCCTTCAATTTTCAGGATGTTGGACAGGCGGGTGCCAACATGGTTCTTCGTGGAGCAAATTTCGGCCAGTTTATCAAGAATAAAAGGAGTAAGAACTCTTAAACTGGCTGTACGCAGAACAAATAGTTAGCATATGGCTAGCTTAAGAATTCTTACTCCTTTTGTATTCTCCACAATGTAAAATGAAAAAAAAAAAATTAAAATAAAACAGAAAAAAGTTGGGATTCTTTCACAACTGCACTGTCAGGAATACAGAAGCACAGAACTCACTGTTAAAGAGATAAGAGAACTCCTTAAATGATGTAATTTTCCTGCATTTACCAAAAACTGAAATGTTGGTTTGTGGTGGACTGATTATCTGATCTGCGCTGTTGCTTATGCTTTTCGTTTATTATTTCCAACCTAGCAATTTTCAGAAGCAGCCCAGCTGTATGAGAAGGGCCAGTACTATGACAAAGCAGCCTCTGTGTACATCCGCTCTAAAAACTGGTCAGTAGTCTACTTCACCAACCAATAATGTATGTAAAGTGACAATCAAATTCCTTATAAGAACCCTTGTGAAAAACAAAGACTTGCTCTTAATGGTGTCTCTCACCTTAAAACCACCAGATACATGTGCACACATTTGAATGTGAACCCTTGTATGGGGGCACTCCTCAGCAAATCATAGGCTGCCAATGGAAAGCAGTAGTCTCTCTCCGAGAATGATAGGTGGGGCTATGTGCTTATCCTCAGCTGGATCAGGACATGCTCACAAGTTGAAGAATCACCCTGTGCAACAACAAGCACTTTTGTTTTTCCAAGGTATACATTATTACCCTCTGGCAGCACAAAAAAAAAAGATAAAACTGTGGTGACTAGTTAGATTTGGTAATAGAAGTCGCTCATATTATACAATTTTACCATTTGTAGTTCTCATTGAACATAGACAAATTCAACATATCTAGGTGTATGACATTGTTATAGAATGGCTTCTTTGTGAGTTTTGCTTTGTTTATTTCAGGGCAAAAGTT